GACCCCGGCCCTAGGAGCCGATTATGAGAAGAGCGCCCTCAAGTGATTTCGTTACACGTTTTACTTTTACATACATACATGTACATGTACAGTACCTGTACATGTAGATGTGGCGTGCGTGGTCGTAAAATTTCACTCAGGTGTGCTCTGACGGATTGTGTCAGATTGTGTGGCATCCACTGGTAAGTTTAGCTAGCATCGTATGTAGCTATTGAATTCCTGCATGATTTGTGTTCAGGTGTACCCTTAGAACCCCACATTCATGAAAGTAACCTCAATTATTCTACTAGGTAGTACAGTAGGCCCTACAGTAAAAAAAAAAATAAAAATGACAAAGAGCTCCAGTACAGTAGGCTCAGGCTACCCCCAGAACTGGGTCTGCCACTCCGCCCCGCTCCTACGTACGTCAGACCCCACAGTTCTGGGGGTAGAGTAGGCCTAGGCCTACTATCAATAAAACCATACCCCATGGATGGGCCTACCGACAACTTAGCAGGTTCAACAGAATGCCAGATCAGGCAGTCATACCTGCATGTGTAAAAACTCGATGACAAAAACCCACAGTAAACTTGAGTAATCTCCAATGTTTCACCTTAAATTTGTGAACCCCTTATGTAACCAAGAACTTTCTCTTTCAAAATGTGTCATTAGGTTGGATTAAAATGCTAACACCCAAAAAAGAAATCGGAAAGAACAATGAGTCAAGAGAGCTTCGCAGTCAGACGTTAGAAGTTTCACTGGAGCTTGGACACCTTTTTTGCAAATCAGTCCTCAAAAACCCTTGAAATTTGAGTTCTCTTCCGCTAAATGCCCTCTTCATTGTTTTTTTTTTGCAGTATTCTTTTTTTTTTGCAGTAATTTTAAAGCCGTGGCTATTGTTACGGCAGCCGTAATGCATCTCCCATTTTCTATCGTTACGGCACTGCAACTGCGCAAGCGCACCAACTTAGTGCAGATATCGGACTTAGTTCCCTTTAAAAAAAATTCCTCCAAAGCCTCCGATGAAAAAAGAAAAAAGATACCTGCTTAGGCCTATACAATTAAAAACCAACCAAAAAAACCCAATAATGGTATAAATAATGGTCCAAGCGCGGATTTGAACTCACACACCAGTGGTTCAGATCCTTCTACCTTAACAACTCAGCCACAAACGTTCAGCGATCCGGGTAATTTTAAAATTATATAAACCGTCGTGGTGATCATCTACATGTACGTCATCGCACTTGTTCAGTTCAGTGCCATAACAATAGAAAATAGGAGATGCGTTATGGCTGCCGTAACAATAGCCATGTTGTAATTTTAAAGGTATTGAGCTGATTTAAATATCATCCGATTTCTCATGTTATAAGCTCTCAAATGATACCAAGTTCGTTGGGGTCCCTTCAGAAACTCTAAATGTCATGGAACTCACTAACTGTAGGCCTACATGGTGTACCTTGGAACTTTGCTATGCGGTATGGGATGGCCATGATAGGCAAACTTCCAGAAAGGTTTATACAAACCTCAATATAGATAGCCAGCCATGTACAAACTCGCATATAAACACATTGTGGCTCTTTCAATTGTGCCATCACAGCTACATGCATTTGTGCAACAGATTTCATACCTTCGGAGAAGTTTGATGTCTGATGGGGAGGTTTCTTCACCGTATATCCTCATTACAATGGTGAAATTCTTGAGCATTTTGCCTATCCACACTACAGAAAATCAGCAGCATGTTCTGTCAATCACTGTCAATTGCATGACCAGCGATGACAGTTTGACCAATTGCAACACAGCTCCTATCTTTTCCTTCTTGTTTTCCCGTCTCCCAGAGATAAAAGCCACACTGTGATTGGCCCAATTTGCTTCTATTTCACTTCAGTGACCAATCATAGCTTGGCTTTTATTTTGTTGTGATCAGGAAAACAAGGATAAGGAGTTTGTATAAAAGTTACAGTTATGGAAGCAGAGGTAGGTGTACCTCCATGTTACAACGAACCCCACAATTGTGGGGGGGGGGTTAGAGCTCTAGCAGGTGTGGAGCATGTGGACCGACGTGATTCTGAATGCTGCTTCAAACGTGCCAGACCATGAAGTGGGACATCATGGAATTCTGTTGTGTCTTCATTATCATTGTATCTGCTAAACATTTAAAGGAGAATTTAAAATGTAATTTTCACAAAGGGAATTTGCCACGTAACACCCGCACAGTGGCACCCAGCCGTCATATCCGTAGCAAAAGTATGGGACTTGTCGTGTCCTCTCTGCTCAGAGAGGCAAAAATAAACCCCACATAGTCCGTAGTTCTAGGGGTACATTGCACCCAGCAACCACTGTACCATGCCCACTGCATTGTGAAATTTGACATATCACATTTTAATGAAATAAACTCAAAGGTTTTTTCCACCAAAAGTGATGTGAACCTGAGACCGAGAAACATTTCCAAATATGTAAGAAAATCCTTTAAATTTTTTTGATACTCCATGGGGGGGACAAAAGTCAGGAGAATGGGAGACAACATCCTCTCCAAAAAGACTGGGAATGAAAGAAAACGGAAAAAAAAAACAATATGTGTCTGGGAATTGAACCTAACATCTTGCTGAAGTCCATGTTCATCCCTCTGAACTTATGGGACACCTGTCACCACCATGGTGAAGCCAATAGACAACGCCTTGTCAGGTTGGCAATGCTACCGTGTATTATTAATGTGTTATGAAATATCAACAAATGTTGCTCAACTGTATCTGGAAAACCTGTAAGAAATCCTGTCATTGTAAAATCCTTAGTTGTAAAATTCAGTCTTTTAAAGCATCATCCATCAGCACTGGATGGATTGAAATCAGTTCACAGAGCAATTACATGTAACCCTGTTTTCTCCTTTTCATTAATGAAGGTTACCATGGCAGCACCTACTCAACAGTCTGGTGCCAGTGGGGGCAACCAAAACCCAACTAGTAACCCTACCATGTCTGGTGCTCGAAGTGAAATCACTTGTGTGTCACTGTATTGCAGATTGGGGCAAGAAACGGTGCAAGAAATAGTCGCCAAGACCAATGAGATATTTGGTGTCATGAAATCTATGCAGGTATGCAAACTTCAAGTACATGCATATTAGCTTGGATTCCTATTACATACACAGTACATGCATGCATACAGGTGTATGCCCAAATATTTGAACCGTTATAGTTTGCGATAATGCACGTGCAGTCCATGTTTTTACAGTCTGTATGTGCCTGTGCTTAAAATTGCAGTATTCTTTGCAGTTAAGGGATATGATAACACCTGAGGCAAAGTGCAAGGTGCTGTGTAGTTCTCCTGTTTCACGGCAGTCAGCAATTCTTTTGTCACATGCACATTGTGCCCAGTACTTTCAAAACAATGAAGGTTGTGACTCACGCAGGATATCAGTGTAACCTGTAATTGTAAGCTTTTCTGGTGGACATGATAGTGTGGTGTTGCATACCTTGCACCACACAAACAGCACCTTAGTGTCCAAAATGATGAGTGATGTTAATCATGCCATAGTCTTGTGACCTCCCTGAACATTTGGAATTACTATTTTCAAAAAATGTAACAAGCACGACATATCTTTGGTTCCAGTTTTAATGCTAACCCCATAGGCTGTTTTGCTAGGCACCGTCCTCAGTCCTTCAAATTCTCTGAATATCTATGCTAAAAATTGCTTTCTGCCTCAATCCTGCAAAATCCTCCAATACTTCTTGGATACGCTCCTTTGAAAAGTACCCACTACTTCAATCCTTCAAAC